GTAGTTAATTCTGCTAGCTGCTAATGCAGCTAGTACGCGGCCGATGCAATTAAGTGCCCGCTGAGCGATTTTAACTTTACAGCGTAATATCAATAACGTTATCAATATTGTGTTGCTATTCCTGAGTGGTGAGCTATCGTTAACCACTGAAATGCATATATAACCCCTAGCTGGGAATGTGTTGTTTTGGTTTACACTGCACTTGACTAACAGTAAGGCATACGGAAATAATTGCTACTGTAGTACGTGAGAAACTGTGAAAATTGTAGCTCCCAGGGAATTAGTCTGAAGAGAAGTGAAGCGAGCATTGGCAGTGAAATGGGCAATTTAAATATAGAATTTACGCCACCACAGTGAACGAGGGTATTTAAGCTGTAAGCAATACTGCCAGGCGAGTTCAGGTATCACTACCCTCGCCATTGATTTTCCATCGACCAACAAATCTAGATGGAGGCGTGGCCGGCCATCGGCACTCACTGCCTGTGTTTTGTTACAGCTACCGTACAACTATTTCTACATAGTAGTACTTCGAAGTATTTAGTATTGTGAACTTTTAAAAACGATTAGTGTTGGACTAGAAGCATAAGAGAACTAACAGAAACCCCGTAATCCCTAAAGTACAGTACAACAATAGACCACCAAACTTGAGACTAAGTTTTTCACCAACCATCGACTATTTTACAATTTGAGAAAGAACGTTTGTTTGTGACTTTATCAAAAGCAAATGATGAAGTCAATTGTTAAAAACACACGCAAACATCTCACCACTTGAACAAGGATCGCCTGACATGTGGTACTGTCTGTCATTGATCAAGGTAAAATTGCATTTGGAAATCACTCGATCATTTCCGATCAGACAACATTTCGTTCGTTGAATATTGAGCAGTCTAGCGAAGTGATTCGTCATCGCATCTAAACTCCTTGAAGAGAATACTTCTCAAAACTGATAGATTAAAACTTGAATAATGCGATAAAGGCCGCCAAGTCCATCAAAATCGATGCTAATATTGGCGCGCAAACGCGTCAGAGAGGCTCCACGAGCCATTCATTTCAAAAAAATTCTTCGATGTCGTCGATGAAACCCCGAAACTACGATCTCTACCTTCAAACTTGTGTTGCGTTGACTAATTGTCACATTCGTTTTTCTTCCTTGCGGGTCGACGACAGCCATGAACGCAACCGGTATTTGAACGCCCTCATGTCTTCGAGTGAAAAGAAGAAAGCCAAGCGTGCCGTTGCAGTTAAAAAACATCGCGAGAAGCGCAAGTTGCGTTTGGGCACGTTTTTGCCGAGTGGTGAAAATGCCTACTTCGATTCGGACACTGAATTTTACCCAAGTAGTGACGATAGTGGAATTTTTGAATAGAAAACGTTCGATTAACAACTTTTTACCAAGTCTTTCACACTTACTAAAGTGCTTTACGATATCACCTCACACAATGGAAACCACTTGGAGCGATTGGAAATGACTGCGTCAGTTACGAAATAGCCAATCACAATGTTTTATACGACACAATTTCGGAAGTCACTTCGTCAATTCCGAATGTGCTGTGCACTGTGTGAGTGACCCAATAATTGGTTGAATGGTCTAATGGATGATTTAACATGAAGGGCAGAAGCAACTCATAACACACTACAGCAGTACAGTACAGTACAGTACAGTACAGTACTAGGTCACCAAGTAACATTAATACTGTACCAGTACTACGCAGCAATACAGTACAGTAGTGGGAACACATCAAGCTTCACTACTTCCAAAAGTCGGGGTGTGTTAATCAAATCGGATGTGCTGGGGAGACTGACTTACGATATGCCCCTCCTTGAGGTACAATGACGACATATAGGCTTGGTTGAAGTCCATATCTTTCAGATTCAGTACAGGTTTCAATTTTGAAATTTTTATGCAATGTTCACTCGCAAATTTCGATGCGCATTGTAAGTAGAAGTAGTACTTCTGTCGAGAGCGTACACAATTTCTCGAGGTAGATTCCTTCAGTATCTACCGAAAGGCAACACTCGCGGGGTTGATAAATAGTGAGATTACAATCGGTACCGGTACGTGAAAATAATTAATTATTACAGCGGATAAAATCTGCCTAACTGTAAGATCTCAATGAAATTCCCTCTGAATCTGAATTTACTAAATGAGAACTTCACGGGTCCTATTAACGTTTATGTTTCTTGGATTTTAGGTAGATGTTTTTCTTATAATGATATTTGAAAATTTGTCATAATATTTCTGAAAAGTTGCAAAAAAGTGTTTCTGACGTTTTTTGTGGCAGTCAGAGTGGCCCTTAGCTTTTTGTTATGTTACCTAAAATAACTTATACTAGTATTGGTTTATTAATATTATGTTAGATTTAATGAAAGAAATTCTGTATTTATAGATGTTGCGAACGTAAACAATCAATTTAAGAGCTTCAATCAATTTAAGATAAAATATACATGAGCCAATGAAAAGACGTGAAATTTCCTTGAGCCAATGAAACGACGCGAAGTAACCTAACCACACAACTTATATGCAAAGAGTTATACCTTATTCAAGATAAAAATACGCGTCCTAAATTGATTGTTAAAACAAGATCAAACTTGCTTGGTTTTTCTTGATTTAGTAAATGGAAATGCATCGAAACCCAATATAATTGATATGAGGTTATTCCCGATTAATTCAGCTTCAATCTCCAAGTTTCAGTGGTCGAAAATGTTGTATGAGCGGGGAGCTTCCCCAGCCGCCTTCCACAGATGAGTCTTAAATTGATTGTTTACGAAAATCGACGAGTTTGACAGCTCGCTGGGTACATGGCATGGTGTATGCCTAAATCACTTGTCCAAGTAGCTATTGATTAAATTGCACTTGTACGTATTTCCGAAAGACTTGGTGAAAATCGAGAATTTGTTATGGTAAAAATATTTCATTAATATAAAACGTTTTTTTAAATATTAATAGTATTCTCGTTTTTATATTTTAAATGTTTGAATAATTGTTAATACATCCGTAAATTTTTTACACGTAGACGAACCCTTGGCTAACTATAATATTATAAAATTAAGAGAATTTTAGCAGGAATGCCTTGTAGCCTCGTGGTCTAGGCTGAGGTACGGGGTTACACTAGGATCGACCATTAGAGTATTGAGTTTGTACTGGTGATCAGACGGCTAGGTTTGTTTCTCCTCGAGGCTAAGATAATGTGGTTCAATCTTTGATATACCTTGACGATAGCCCTTATTGTGTTGCAGCATTCGATGGGCAACAACGTCAAATTCACTACTTTCTTTCACGGAACTATCGGCTTGATTCACACGAACGCAGAAGGAATGTTTTTGGTATCGTTGAATCTACAGGAGAAAAAACCTATATCATATTTTGTCGGAGTAGGACTTGAACATGGGTAAAAATCAATGGACGACGTGATGATACACTGCATCATGGCGCCAGAATCCGCCAGATTATGTGATAATATCACATAATCTACGAACGTAGAGCTTCTATCGTCAAGGCCGCTTGATAAAAATCTTGTACGACGTCGACAATGGAGACGTGAATGAACCCGACCCGTAGCACATTTGCGT